AAGAGCTAGCATGCAAAGTGGTCCACCCTGTGCATGGCAGTGTGCTAGCACTTGCACTGGCCAAAGCATGCAGCCAGCGTGCAGGGATGGCCAGGGCCTGGCTCCCACCACAGGGAAAGGGCAGGCAGGGCGCACACACTGCAAAGCCCCCAGGGCAAGGCTGGCAATCAGCAGAGTCTGCCCTCAATGCCCCCTGACGAGGCTGTGCCGAGGACCCCTGGTTGCATGGTAGCAGTGCGCTCCCTGCCTACTGCCCTGAAGCTGGGCCTGGCGAGGCCTGGGGGTGTTCCCAGTGGTATCATCCTGTGGCTGAGCGCAGACAAGGGGCAGGTGGGATCAGCCTCTTGGGACGCTGCTCTGGAAGAAGGCTCCAAGCAGCGCAGACCTTGGCACTGTATCTGCAGTGCAATCTCTGATTGCCCTAAGGCCAATGGGGTTGGCTGTTCTTCCAGTACATTGGTACTGACAAGAGAAGCCAGGCAAAAGAGACGAGTGCTGTTGACAGGTGCCCTTCTCCAACACCCCAGCCTCTGTGCTACACCCCAAACTGGGGATGGTTTAGCTTCCCTATCCCACAGCGTTACCACGATGGGCCATATTCTACAGACAGATGCTAGCACAACTCCCTTTTGGCTTCAGGAAACGTGCTCAGGGCTGGGAGCCGGCCAATCAAGGGCTCTAAGCTTGCATCCTCCACACTGATGGCTGTTCATATTTCCATGTATTTCCCAACCCCTACTCTCAAGCAAGGGCTCCTAGTGATCCCATCCTTAAGAACCATGACTACTCCTCTGCCCCTGTGCTACATGTGGGGGGTAACATGCATGCAACCCAGGACTGCCTCCCCCCTGCCCAGCACCACCACCTCCCCTGCCATTCCAATACTTTTTAAACAAGGGATGCTCCCAGTGGTTTGATGCTGGGGAGTGGGTCCCCCATGCTGTGGAGCCAGATTTCCTCTGCCAGCAGCAGAGAGGAACAGGGTAACAAACTTGCTCCCCAGCCGCCCATGTGGCATGCATGACTGGCACAGCCCAGTCCCCCTCAGAGCCAGCTCCCCCTCCCAGCCAGGACATATGGGTCCGAGGCCTTTGGAAGGTTGCTCTGATCAATGTTTTCCCACCAGCAGAGTCACAGGGTGCCCACAGCCCCAGCTGGGGAAGAGCCACAAGGCAAGGGCAGGGGGAGAGCACAAGGGGCCACACCCAGTTAAGGGGGCTGGAGAAGAGGGCCCCATGGAGTGCACCTGCTCCTCACACCCAGGGTCTTGCCTCATGTTGAAAAGGTTCGCTAGAATCAAAGGCTACCCAGTCAGAGGAGACAACAGGGCACGAGGCTCTGACCCCCACAGGTCTGTGCTGCCCCAACCAGTGGCCATGGTGAAGGCTGGGGCATATGACTTATGAGGAGAGGCTGAGGGAACTGGGGTTATTTAGTCTGCAGAAGCGAAGAGTGAGGGGGGATTTGATAGCAGCCTTCAACTACCTGAAAGGGGGTTCCAAAGAGGATGGAGCAGGCTGTTCTCAGTGGTGGCAGATGACAGAAAAAGAAGCAATGGTCTCAAGTTGCAGTGGGGGAGGTCTAGGTTGGATATTAGGAAACACTATTACACTAGGAGGGTGGTGAAGCACTGGAATGGGTTACCTAGGGAGGTGGTGGAATCTCCATCCTTAGAGGTTTTTAAGGCCCGGCTTGACAAAGCCCTGGCTGGGATGATTTAGTTGGGGTTGGTCCTGCTTTGAGCAGGGGGTTGGACTGGATGACCTCCTGAGGTCTCTTCCAACCCTAAGCTTCTATGAAGACATTTCAGCTCACAGAATACTTGTGTGGGGAAAAGCCCAGAGCTCTGATGGAGAAGAGGGGATGGGGTGTGTGAATGCTGCCTGCTCTGCACTTCACCCACTCCAGTCCCCCAGCAAGGAATGCAGGAGTGCAGGGCAGCTGCCGCCCACACCCCTGCAGTCCCTGGCCACTGGCTGTTCAAGGGCAAGCCAGGACACATGCAGTGCTGTGATGAGAAAGGGTGGGGTGGGACAGTACTAGGCTGAACAGGAGCTGTAAGCACGGCAGTGTGGAAGGTTAGAGCAGGGAGGCTGGGCTGCATAGAGGGGAGGTACCCTCTCCCACCCCCTGCCCCAAGTAACAGGCTAAGGCCAGAAAGGTCCAGTGTGATCATCCTGTGAACTGCCCCCAGATAATTCCCATAGCAGATCTGTTAGAAACACAGCCAGTCTGGATTTAAAAATGGTCACTGAGGAAGGATCTACCACAGCCCTGAGTAAATTGTTCCAAGGGTTAATTACTCTCACCAGTAAAAATTTACACCTTAGTTCCAGGCGGAATTAGTCTAGCTCAGGGGTGGGCAACCTTTTTGGCCCGAAGGCCACATTGGGGTTGCAAAACTGTATGGAGGGCCAGGTAGTGAAGGCTGTGCCTTCCCAAACAGCCTGGCCCCTGCCCCCTATCTGCCCCCTGACTGCCCCCCTCAGAACCCTCAACCCATCCAACCCCCCTCACTTCTTGTCCCCTAACTGCCCCCTTCCAGGACCCCTCGCGACCCCACCCCATATTCAACCCCCCTGCTTCCAGTCTCCTGACTGCCCTGACCCCATCCACATCCCCGGCCCGACAGCCCCCCTCCCCGACCCCACGCCTATCCAACCCTGTTCCCTGACCTCTATCCACACCCCCGCCCCGAAACTCCCACACTTATTCACCCCCCCCCCACGTTCCCCGTCCCAACCGCCCCCTGTTCCCTGTCCCCTGTCTGCCCCCCAGTACCCTCCAGCCCAGGGGGGGTACCTCAGAGCAGCATGTCTGGCAGCCGTGCTGCCCGTCTGGAGCCAGACACGCTGCTGTGCTGCTCGGCAGGAATGTGCAACCACGCCACCCAGCACGCTGCCTGCACGGCGGCGTGGCTGCAGGGGAGGGAGGAAAGTGGGGGAGGGGCCGGGAGCTAAAGGGCTGGGTAGGATGGTGGTCCCGCAGGCCGTAGCTTGCTCACCTCTGGTCTAGCTTCAGCTTCCAGCCACTGCATCGTGCTATACTGGTGTGCTAACCTGGAGAGCCCACTATCAAAGATTTGGTCCCCGTGTACGGTACTTATCGGTTATGATCAAGTCACACCTTTAGCTTCTCTGTGTGAAGCTAAACAGACTGAGCTCTTGGAGCTTGTCACTGCACATCAGGTTTTCTAATCCTTTAATCGTTCTCGTGGCTCTTCTCTGACCCCTTTCCAACTGATCACAGTCCTGCTGGAGTTGTGGGGACCAGAACTGGACACAGGATTCCAGTAGCCAGCGCACCAGTGCCAGGTAAAATAACCTCTCTGCTCCCAGTCGAGATTCCCAGTTCATGCATCCCAGGATTGCATTAGCTTTTTTGGCCACATATGGGGAGCTCATGTTCAGCTGATTATCCACCATGACTCCCAAACCTTTTTCAGAGTCTCTGCTTCCCAGGACAGAGTGGCCCACCTTGTGCATATGGGCGACACACTCTGTTCCCAGCTGTGCACATTTACATTTAGCTGTATTCACATGCATATTGTTTGCTTGCACCCAGGTTATCAAATGAGCCAGAGCACCCTGTCTCCATTCCCAAATCCTAGCCTGCCTCCATACCAGGAGGGACTGCCCACCCTTCCCCTAGTATTCCTGCTCTGCTCCCCCCGGAAAATCCAACTGTCCTATCTGCAGGGATGGGGTGTAACACAACATCAGCTAGAACAGGTGAGCCCAGCCAGACCTGGCCCTCACTTGGGGACGGAGGGAGCAGCATTGGGTAGGACAGCCTTGCTGCTAGCAGCCAAGCTCTGCTCTCCTACAACAGACTAGTTCAACTCCCGCCCCCCTGCAGCCTGCCTGGAAGGGCCCAGGGGTGGGGGCGAGGCGCAGAAACTGCACAGAGGAGCCTACAGCCAGGGCATTTATTGGGGAAGGAGCTTGGTTCCAGATGAATGCAGGCCACTGTGTGGGTGCAGGACAGTGCCCCTGCCTCTGGGGCAGGAGCATGGCACAGTGTCCTCTGCCCTTACCTAGGGCCAGCCTGGCCCACTTGCTCACCCAGCAGCTCCTAGCCCTGCCAGGGCCTGGCCACACACTTCACAGCCACCCTCAGTCTCTGCGCTGCCATGGGCAGCATGACCCCTCTGGCCTAGCGAGCCTTCTTGTGGGGGTGCTGGTGGTGCCTGGAATGCTGAGGCGTGGGCACCAGGGCAGCGCTCCCTCTGCGGGTGGGCATGGTGCTCTGGGGGCTAGCGTCCTCAGCAGATATGGGCTGGATGATGTGGCCTGGCTGGGTGAGGATGCGGGGGGCTGTCAGCTTCTGGAAGGCTCGCTGTGTGTTCCACGTGGGCCCCACTGGCGCCCGGATGCTCCGCTCAAACTGCTGGCGGCGGTCGAAGGGGAAAGGGACCTCATTGACCTGCCAGAGGGGGAGATACAGACAGGGTCAGCACCCTGTCCTGGCACCAGACTGGGTATGGCTGGTCCCGCTAGGGCAGCCAGGACATGCTAAGGGGGTCACTAGAGACCCACACTAGAGGGAGAGCTGCCTGCGCTGGGCTCCGCATAGGCTGGATCTTCGCTCCAGGCTCCGACTACCCCAGTATTCAGGGGTGGTGGGGACTCAGCCCCGAAGCAGAGGAGAGCCCAGCTGTGATGCTGGCTGCTGCAGGGAAGCTGTGGTGTCAGTGCTGCTCCTGCCTGCTGCAGCTGGAACCCTGGCACCCCCACACAGTCAGCTGAGGCCAGGGCTCATGGAGGTTTGGTGCGACTGGTCCTGGGAGGGAAGTGATTCCTGAAACAGCCTCCTTGCTGGCCAGAGCGCCTACCCAGCCTACTCTAAGCCTGTGCACTGGAGCCACTGTGGTTCTAGTTGTCCCCACAGTGCCCTTTGGTCTGTCTGAGGGCCAAACAACTCCTTCCTATCCAGGGACTCATCAGGGAGAAACTAACCTCTCCAGGACCTGCCACCAGGGCAGTCAGGGTTCCCCTTACCTGGTGTGCTGCAGCCAGGATGTTGCGCTGCTGGCTAATGATGACATGGGGCAGGTGCTGATCTCTCCTCGGTGGCCCCGACACCGGCTTGATGAGGAACCTGAGAGACAACGAGACAGATTAGGCTGCAAGGCTCCAGTGAGGGGCGAGACATCCCCCCATGCCCTGGTCTTGCCTGTACGTACCGCTTCCTCTTCCTGGCACTAGGCCGCAGCCCCGTGCCACCCCACTCGCCCCATCCGGGTAGAACCAGATCCATGGCCTGCGGCTTCCCCGCCTGCTCCACCTTGCGCTTCTCTTGCAGGAAGTCAGCAATGACAGCATCCCCCGCAAAGGCCTCCTTGATCACCAGCCTCTGGTCTGCAGCCTCCTCCTCCTGCCAGAGAGAGATAAGCACCCATGGCACCCGCCTACCTCCCTTCCCAAGACAGAGACCAGCACCCATGGCATCTGCCTGCCCCTCTCCCCCTGCCTGAGACAGAGATCAGACCCAGGGCACCCGCCTGCCCTCTCCCTGAGACAGATTAGCACCCATGGCACCCACCTGGCCCCCTCACTAAGACAGAGATTAGCACCCATGGCACCTCCTCCCCTCCCCACTCCTTATAGCAGCAGGCAGCACGGAGCCCAGCTCACCTCGTCCTGCACAGAGACCGGCTGGGCAGGACACTGGATCACGTGGGACTCCCCAGCCAGGACCGCCTGCAGATTGATCATCTTCTGCTTAGGTGCCTTCTTGGCCGTGTGGCCACCCCCAGCACTGCCCTCTTCCTCTGACTCCTCCAGTGTCCCGGTGGGCCAGGGCTGCTCCTGCTCTTCTGCCCCCTCCTCCTGGCCCAAAGCATCTATCTCCTCCAGCGTGCACCGCCTGCCCCGCTGCTCGGACAGCAGCGGCCCCTCCAGCCCCTGGGCAGGTTGTTCCACTCCAGGATCCGTCTGCACATTTGACAGCAGCTCTACAAACAAGTGTTCCTCCTCCGCTTCGCCAGCACCTGCAGAGAGCACTGGGTGAAGGACAATACTACCCGCTGTGGGTATAACAGGCCCCAAGGATGGCATGGGGGGGCCCAGCAGGCTGATGGGTGAGAGATGCTGCTCCTCCCAGAGCAGCAGGGTGGCAAGGGATTCACACAGCCTCTCTTCCAGCCCAACCAGCTCCTGACAGATGGTGGTAAGGCGGCTCCAAACCTGACTCCTGTCCTCCCACCACATCGGGCCCAGGGCCTGCCCACCCCCACCCACCCCCCCCAACCTCCTCCCCCGACATCCAGCCCTGGGCCTGCCCACTCTCCCGACATCAGGTCCCGGCGTGCCCACAATGGGGCTCCGGGCTCCCGACATCTGGCCCCAGCCTGCTCACCCTTGGGCTCTGGGCTCCCTGCCTGTTGCCGTGTACATCGTCTTTGCTCAAAGTCTTGTAACAAGATCTCCTCCTCTGACACCTCCTCTCCCTCATTCCCAGCATCCTCTGGGGCAACAGACTCTCTGGGGTCCTTGGGATCCTTCTGCATCCCAGAGTCCTTTGCTTCACTGCTGGGTTTCCCCAACATCCAAGGGTTGGCTCCGTCCATGCTGGGCTGCACCTCATTGATGGAGTCCGGGAGGAGGCCTTCCCCAGCCACGTCGCCCTCCTCTTCGCCCTCTGGCTCCATAGGCACTTTCTGGGTCAGCTCCTTGTTCCTGGCCAGCTGCTCCTGCATGGCCTTGCGGGCCTGCAGGGACATGGGAACACATTCACAGCCAGGCCCAGAAAAGCCCCCACACTGCCCCCAACACAGAGCCACCCTTCCCCCAACAGCTCCTCACCTCCAAGTTGTACTTGGCCATAATGGCTCTGGAGCGGGCCCATTTCCCCTTGTTCTGGTGCTTGAGGCTCATCCTCTCCTGGGGAGGGAAGAAAGCAAAGAGAGGCATCAGCAAGGGCTTCTCTGGGGGGCTGGGGAATCTCAGGGTGCAGAGAGTCCCCGAGGCATCACCTCAATCCTGCTTCTCTCCATCTCCTCCAGCTTTGTCAGGGCAGCCTCGGGGTCTAGCTTCCGCAGCACCTCAAACTCTTTCAGGGCCTTGCGACTCATGCCCTTCTGCAGCACTCGGTGGTACCTGCGCAGTGAGAGCAGAGCAGCCAGAAGGTGAAGGTGCCAGCCGAGCTGCCCTCCCACAGCAGGAAGTGAGAGAGCTCACACTGGCTCATCTCTAACCCGCCCCGCACCTGAGCTCCAGGGCAAGTGGAACCCAGGGCTCCTAGCAGGCCCCCCAACCTCCCCACACACTAACACCTGCATGGCCGGCTCCTTACTTCTTGCTCTTGATCTTCTTCTCTCGTCGGGCCTTGGCCTCATAGTAGGACTGCAGGGCACGGGCCTTCTGCAGCTCTGCCCGGCGCAGCTGAGCCTGAAACACACAGCACAGGGTGACGGCCAGCTTCAAGGGGGGCCTGCACCCCAGGGGGGCACGGACAGGGAAGGCATGGCCCACTCACCTCCTCCAGGCTCATCGCCCGCAGCGAGGCCTCTTCCAGAGGCGTCAGCAGCGGGTCCGTCACCGGCTGCTGCGTCTTATGGAGAAGACTGAAGATCTCCTGCTCCAGCGGCGTTCGGGTCTTCGGGACAAGGAAGGCAGCAAGTGAGCACATACAAGGTGTGCAAGGGCAACCTCATTGGGATCTCCCCGACCATGGGCTCTGGCCATCCCACCCACAGGCCCAGAGGGAGGGAGGGATTCCTTTCTTCCTGCGGGCCCCAAGATTAGCAAGGGGAGCCACCAGCCAGTCTTAGCAGCCCCACCTCAGTGAGGGCTCAGGTGACGCCCCACCTCAGTGAGGGCTGCTAGTCCCATGGGAGCCCCCAGCCTCAGCCAGCTCCTCACCCTCAAAATAACCCAAAGGAGTGGGGGCCATTTCACCATAGCTCCTGGGAGGCGATGGGGAGGACACAAGGCGGGGGGGAGACACACCAATTGAACCCAAGGCTCCGGGGGTGAGGAGGGGGCACCCAGACAAGTGTACTAGAGATCACTGGGCAATTTCCACAGAAGGGTCAGGGAGACATCCCCATTAACTGCCCCTATCCTTTTGCCCTATCTGGTCCCCACTATTGTGGGGATTTCAGGGTGCAGGATCGGGACCCCCAGGTGGTGGGGGTTAGGTGGGTGGGGACTTGGGTCTGGGGACTTCCTGAGGCCAGTCTGCTGGGGCAAAGGGGGCACAACAGCAAGAACCTGCCGCTTTCACAAGGCTTTTGGTGAAAATTCAACATCAGCCCGGGGCTGAAACCAAGCCAGGCCTGGTGCGTGGACCAGCCACCCCCAGTCAGCACATGGGGTGGGCACCCCCAGAATACCAGGCACAGCTAGAAAGCCTCCACTATCAACACAGGGCACTGCCCAGCAGCGCCCTGAAGGCTAGTCTTGGCCATGGTCAGAGAGGCAGAGGTGAATGACAAAACCCAGCAACCCCTGGCTCAGTCCCAAGTCCAACCCCTCGCCCCCCAACACTCCCCAGCCAGTGCCCCAGAGGAAGCCCCTGCGCCCCAGGGAACACAGGGGGGAGATGGGATGCAGAATGTCCATCTGACAGCCCTTTGTCAGCCACCCAGGCATGTGTGCTCAGAATCCAGAGGACACCTTTCATCTCAGCCAACAGCCAGCACCAGAACACAGCCATCTCTGTGGCACTACGCAGCCGCTGCCTAACATGCACAGCAACATGCACAGCTGCTCAGGACAAGAAGCGGCCAAAGCCAACCAAAACCACAGGGGAAATGTGGGGACTGAATGGGAGGGATTCCCTGTGGCAGTGTCTAGAGAGGACTCCCGGGTGATTCCCCCCCCCCCAGAGAAAGCCCTGAGACCCTGGGGGAGCGAAAGGCTGATTTCCCACCTCATCTGAAAGAGGCTCCTCAGAGCCCATCACATCACTGGGACCTACCTGGGCCTCCTGTTGTGGGTGCCCCAGAGAGACAGACTCTCCGTGCACAGCACAGACCCATTTCTCAGCTCTCACTTTTACAGTCCTAAGAGTCCTTCTTTGGGGGGAGAATTTTACAAGCAAGCGTGCAGTGGTCAGCGAAGCCTTTGCATTTCCCTTGGACTGCTCGGCGAGGCCAGGCCCAGAGAACCCCTTCAGCCCTTGCACTGCTGGCAGGGCAGTCACAGCACGTGCTTCCCTCTGGACTGGAGGCCGTTAGGCCCTGGTGCTGAGCCTTACACACAGCTGGCTATGGGTTCCCCATGCATTTACCTCACTAGGGACTGGGACTGCTGGAGCAGTCTCCTGCCTCACCGGGGACCAGTGCTGCCCCAACTTGCACTCTGCACAGGGGGAATGTTTGTGGAAAGGCTGCAATGGTCTCGCAGTTTGGGGGAAGGGGACCCCACCCCAGTGGAAGGGTCCCTTGTCACTGGACAGCTCCAGCACTGCAGAACTTGAGGGAAAGAGTGGAAATCTTGTTAGGGAGAGGGTCTTGCTGGGGTGGGAAGAAGGCAGAGCTGGGGGGCTGCGGACTTTAACAAGGCAGCCCCCTCCCACTTCCCTGTCCCATCCCAGCAGGTGCTGAGAGCAGCTGAGCAGTATTCAGCTGAGACTGTGGTGTCAGGACCCTGGGTTGAGGTCAGGAACTTAGCAGGAAGAGAAGGGAGCTGCAGAGAGAAAGGACAGCTCTGACCTGCTCCCTCCTTCCCGAGTGAGGCCCCGGACAGTTTGGAATCTATTTGGCCCTGGGAAGGTTGAGAAGGAGACTACTCAGATTTAGGGGGCAGAGAGTAAGCCAGCAGAGCTTGGGATGGCCACACACCACTGCCCCCCAACCTTCACCGTGCACGCCTGTCTGCACTGCAAAGTGCTGTGCATCAGCTACCAGTGTGGAACGCGGGGCAGAACATGGGGAGGTCAGCTCCAAGTAGCCCAGCTGTGTGTGTGCCCAGCCTCACACTGAACCTTCCCCCGGAAGCTGCATGGCTTGCCATGGCCCCGCTGAGCTAGCATAAAAGCACAGACACACACACCCCGCATGCCGGAGCTGGCACTGCCCCTCGTTCTCACCGTGTCTCTCAGCTGGCTGGTGTGAAGTTCAGGCCTGTCTGCCACAGCAAGGCTGGCCTTGGGCTCGCCCAGTGCTCAGAAGCCTAATGCGCTCCTGCTCCACCAGTACCCTCAGGGTTGGGATCAGGCACAAACCACCCCCAAAGGGGCATAGACACCTGTGCTGGTGCTGACACCCCCCCTCCCCCGACGCCATGCAACAGCACCCACCTTCCAGCTGGTCAACACCTCCTCGATGGGCGCAACCCTCATCTGCTCCTGCTTCAGGGGGAAAACCAACTGCTCCGCTCGTCGGTTCTGCAGAACCACCTGCTCCCACTTGGCAACGGCCTTCGAGGTCTTATTGTAGGCAGCTTCCCTCACAACCTGCAGTCACAAGAGAGAGTCTGAGAGGACAGAATAGGCCCCAGGTCTGCGATGACACCAGGCGCCAAGGTCTGGATAGCAAGGAAACCCAGCAAGTAACCCAGATGGGGAGAGGCACTCAGCTCAGCCACACAGGACTGAGACCAACCATCACTGCTTATCTCCATGGCTGCCCCCTGCTCACTCCCAACTCACTCCCACCCTGCTCTGCCCTTGACCTACCCCCATCACCTCAGGCACTACTGGCTCAGCCGGGATGGACGGACAAACAGACTCTTACCCGCTCTGACTCTTCTTTGCTGAGTGGCAGCTCCACGGACTTTTTCTGCTTGACTCTATTCAATTGCTTCTTCACAATGCCCAGGGAGGACGAGGCCCGGATGGACCCCAGCAGCTCAGGCAGGACCAGCTTCTCCCCGGCACCTGCAGGAACCAGTGCAGTCAATGCAGGCAGGATGTCACAGAGCTCCCAGCAGAGGGCGCCAACAGGGAACCATCTGCTGGGTTCCTGCGCCCTCCCCCTACGCAGCCCATTGCAGGCAGCTTCCCACACCACCACCTTGGAGTAAGGATGAAGTGACCCAGTTAAGCAGGGGGACCCCTGCCTGAGAGCTGCAGAAACAGTTTGGAGAAAGGCTCATCCCATCCCATCTTCTCCCCCACCAGAAGGAACACACCTTCGCAGCTGAGGTTGAACTCGGACACCTGCAAGCTCGCTTCTGTGCGTTCAGCCAGCTTCCCCCTAGAAGAGAGGAGGCAGAATATATGGGGACCCCTTGTGTGCAGTCCACCAGCACCCCTGCCCATGCAATGCCCCCACTCCTGGTCGCAACAAGCAGTCCAAACGTAGAGGAGCCAAGTGCACCACAGCCCTCCCAAAAGTGTGAGAGAATGTGGGATGGGGGGGGGGGAGGCGAGCACAATGTTCCCTCTAATTTTTTACATCCATGTGCAGAATTAATTTTGTTACGTGCACCAATATGGAGGTGATGTGTGGCGGGGATGGTGCCGAGGGGTTCAGAGTGTGGGAAGGGGCTCAGGGCTCGGACAGAGAATTGGGATCTGGGGGGTGAGGGCTCCGGCTGAGGATGAAGGCTCTGGGGTGGGGCCAGGGATAAGGGGTTCGGAGTGTGGGAGGGGGGCTCAGGGCTGTGGCAGAGGGTTGGGATGTGGGGAGGTGAGGGCTCTGGCTGGGGGTGCAGGCTCTGGGGTGGGGCTGAGGATGAGGGGTTTGGGGTGCAGGCTGCCCCAAGGGAGAGAGGACTCCCCCCCAGCCCTCTGTTGCCACAGCAGCCCGGGGAGGGGCACCTCTCTCCCTGGCGCGGCCCTTGATAGTCTGCTGTGCAGCCATGCAACTTAGAGAGAACTTAGCCCGGGGGCCCCCGTAGCCCCGCCCCTGGCCAAGCTGGAAGCCTGAACGGGCCGGAGAGCCCCCTCCTACTGCCTGAGGGGGGCGGGGGGCAAAAGAAGCCCTCTGCCTGTGTCCTGGGCCCCCTGCCCAGGGCAGGTGGAGGGACCCAGGCTCCCCACATCTGCCTTCTGGCTGGGGGGCATGCCTCGGAGCCGCAGCCTGCCCATGATAAGAGTCGGGCAGGCAGCTGTGGGGAGACGTGGTAGACCCTCCACCTGCCTGCAGTGCGGGGAGGCCCCCAGCCTGTGTCCCCGCCCAGCCCGCGACTCCACAGCTCCTCACAGCTGCCCGCACAGCTCTTACCATGGGCGGACTGCAGCTCTGAGGCCTCCAGCCAGAGCCGGGTCGACAAGAGCCACGCGGGCAGCTGTGGTGAGCCGGCACGTAGATGCGGACTCTCCATCTGCCCTGAGCTAGGCGGGGACATGGGCCTGGGGCTGCTCTCAGACCTCCTGCAACTCAGGCAACTGGAGGGTCCACCACAGCTCCCCTCAACTGCCCGGACTTCTTGGCTCGGCTCCACGCTGGCCTGGCCAGGGCAGTGGGGCCTTGGGGGGCGAGAAGGGGGGGGAGGAGGGGAATGGGGTGAGGTCTGCCTCAGTGAAAAGTGGACATGCCAGGCCCCTCAACTTTCAAAAAATGGGAGGGCCCTGGCAATGTGGCGATCCCCCCCGGTTCCTGCACCACTGAGAGGAGGCCATTCCTGCATCTTAGCAGGGGGGTAGACTTTATGACCCTTGCGGTCCTTTCTGACCCTCTTGGTCTATGGTTGTGATGGGGGCATGTGGGGCAAGCTGCCTCCCAGACAACCCAGGGGCCTAGGGGCCTTCGCTGCTGCCACACTTGCCCTGAGCACAGCGTGGGAGCCATAGCAGCCTAGACACGAATGTTTAAGAGCCTCTGGGTGATGAGCAAGCGTGACCCCGACACTCACCGCTTCCTTCCAGTGAGGGAGCTGATGGCCTCCAAGAGCTGACTATGCCGCCTCTCCTCATTACCATCCCCCTGGCACACAGGAGACAAAATTAATGCAGCCCGCACTGGCACAGCCCGCACTGGCACAGCCCTTCGGCACCTAGCCACGAGGAGTCCCTTCAGTCACCAGAGAGGCTCTGCCCTGCTCCTACAGCAGGTCTGCAAGGGGGACAGCGGGCTGGCCTTCAGTTACAGGCCTGATCCCTGGAGCGGAGTGCCCACAGTGCCCACTTCTGGCACAGTGCCCACGTCACCAAACACAAATGTAAGCTCAGCCTGAGGCCCCACCACCACCACATGTCTTGCTCCCACTGCCTCTCAAGTCCTCCCCGGGACCTCCCTCCACTACACTGCCACCTTCATACACCCACGATGACCTGCCCCCCCCGGCTGTCTCGCTACCTGCCCCATTCTACCTCACTAATTTTACTACAACACAAGAGAAGACAATAGAGCTCACTGTATTTACCCCCCAGGGCAGGACAACGCTCCCGCCCCCCGTGGGAGACCTGAGCCCTCCTGTCAGCAACAGCCTGGCATGCACTCGGGGTAAACTACCAAACGCAGCCATGCCTTGAGGTCACTGCCCCAGTGCTGGGGCGCAAGAGCCTCTCCTACCTCATCCTCACTGGCGCTCACAGGGTGGTCGCTCCGGAACAAATCCTCCTCTGCCATTGGCCACCCCAGGAAGATGCTGCAGGGGAGACACGAGCTAGGCTCAGGCTTGGTCCCCTTGGCACAGGATCGCACAGGCTACGGGGCCAGCCAGGTCCTGCGGGACAAGCTACCTGGGAAACTGGCACTTAATAGACAGCACAAGCCTGCCAAGGATGCTTTAGTCAGAGATGGGACCGGGACCAGGACCAGGCCTAGGGTGACCAGATGTCCCAATTTTTTAGGGACAGTCCTGATTTTTGGGTCTTTTTCACATTTGCTGTCTGGTCACCCTAACCAGGCCCCGACTCCACCCCGGGGGGGACCGGGAAGTCCGGCTCCCTCACAGTAGCCCAAGGCTACTTCATCCTCCCCGCGGCAGGGCGGAGCCAGCAGAGCCCGTCGGGGACAGGCTGTCCCCAGACACCGCGGCAAGCCGGAGGAGAAACCAGCCCCCAGGCCCCTCACCTCCGCCGTGCGCCCAGCCCGGCTCCCCGCCCGGCCAGCACACGTGGATAGGAAGAAGTACTGCGGGACGCAGGTCGCAAAGCGCCGCACTTCCGCCCCTCACAGAGCTGGCGTCACCGCGAGCCGCGGCACTTCCGCCCCGCGCTGCGCACGTTAGCTCTGGCTGTTGCCATGGCAGTGGGGTCATGGGAGGCCTGGCTGGGCTAGTACTTCCTGCGGCCGGCGCTGAGCGCTCGGACCCGGCCCGGGGGAGCCAGCGTGCGGCCCCTGGCGCTGTATCCCCGGGGCACTCGGCCCCGGCACCATCCCCCGCCCGGGGTGACCCCTCCTCTCCCAGCCTCGCCGCCTCTGGGACTCGGCCGGCTCCTCGCGTTGCGCCCCGTGTGGCCAGCCAGCCCCAGCCCGGGGAGCGCCCAGCCCCGCGGGACGCGCTGCTAGCGGCACGGCGGTGGGACTGGCGCTGACCGAGCTGGCGGCGGCGCTACTGCTGTGGCCGAAGAGCGTTTACCAGGAAGCCCCTATGGAAAAGGATAAACCATTTGTGCATCAGTCACTCGGCCGAATTGCCTCTACTGGGGGAACCTCTCTGGGCCCAGGCAGTGGGGTCTCCATTTTATTTTGTATCTCTTGGGGCCCAGGCAGCCCATTCAGGCTGCACCCATCTAGGAGAAAACACTGGCGGTCAGAAGGCCCCGTCCGACTTGGAGAACGGGCTAAAAGCAAGATGCTAATGGATTCAGAGTGGATTCAGAGAAAAATGTTAGACAGTTTCATTCATACCCCCTGGATCCAGATGCACAAAAGTATTTCCAACCAAATCCATCAATCTTTTTTTGGCCTGAACGGCATGTTACCCCTACAGTGTTAGATGATCCCAGTCAGGGTCGGCTCCAGGCACCAGCTCAGCAAGCAGGTGCTTGGGGCGGCCAACGGAGAGGGGAGGCAAGTCTGGCTCTTCAGCAATTCGGCAGCAGGTCCCTCACTCCCTCTCAGAGCAAAGGACCTGCCGCCGAAGAATGAAGCGACGGCGGTAGAGCTGCCGCAGATTGCGATCGCGGCTTTTTTTCTTTTGCTGCTTGGGGCGGCAAAAGCCCTGGAGCTGGCCCTGATCCCAGTGGCCATCTCCTGCACCTTATCAAGAAGGGTCTATGCATGGGACTAGACCTTCACCAGTTCTGTACCAGGAGGACATTCAGTTGTCTGATCCAGCGCACACAGATATTTGGGGATTGTTTGTCCCATTTTTATCACTATTAGTTAATATCAGACAGGTGGATCCTGGAAGTTATTGCATATGGTTACACAATTCAAATCAAGACCCTTGCCCCCAACAACTCACCCATTTCATCTCTGGGCAGAGATCAAAGTCATCTCATTTTGTTAAAGAACAAGTTTTGATCTTTGGTGCAGTTAGGAGCGATAGAGACAGTTCTGCAAGATCACAGAGGGAGGGTTTATACTTGCATTTTCTAATTTAAAAAAATATGGGGCTTTGCCCTCTTTTGGATTTAAGGAAATGAAATATTTATATAAAGAAATTTTGTTTCTGGATATTAGAGAGAACTTCTATAATCCTTTCACTTTGTCTTGGGGATGAGGTTGCTGCTTTGGATTTAAAAGATGAGTGTTTCCGTAAAACAGTATCATCTGAAATACCTCCTTTTCATGGTATGAGAGGTCCATTTTCAGTACAAGGTCCTCCTTTTTTCTTTATCCATAGCTCCTCAGCTGTTTACAAAATGCCTGTTGGTAGTGGCAGTGTACATAAAAAGGCAGAGTATGTATGCGTACCCATTCCTAGATGACTGGGTAATAAAAGCATCATCCAGGGAAGACATTCTAATACACCTCTACCTCGATATAACGCTGTCCTTGGAAGCCAAAAAATCTTACCGCCTTATAGGTGAAACCGCGTTATATCAAACTTGCTTTGATCCGCCGGAGTGCACAGGCCCCCCGAGCACTGCTTTACCATGTTATATCCAAATTTGTATTATATCGGGTCGCGTTGTATCAGAGTAGAGGTGTACATGTAAATCAAATATTTTCTCTCTTTACCAGTCTGGGATTAGAAATAAAATGGAAAAAGTTGTGTTTAAACCTTTTTCAAAGGGTCTGCTTTATAGGGGTCATAGTAGAGTCTACTGGAAAGAGGTTTTCTCCCACAGGAGATATATATAAAATATATAATCCTCCAGTTTCTATAGCAGTCAGTTCCCCTTTTTCTTCAGTTCCTGGGTCTGTCAAACACAGCAGTGCCACCATATGCTCATCTTCAGCTGAGATATCTTCAGCACTGGTTAGGAACAAGTTACAGACCAGGTTTGCATAGCATGCATCACAAAATAGTAATTCCACAGCAGGTGTTAATGTCACTCATGTGGGGGACAGACACTCAAAAATACAATGAAAGGTACACTTCTTAATTCTCCACCATCAGTAACACAAACCTCAGAAAAACAACGGAGGAGTCTGGTGGCACCTTAAGAACTAACAGATTTATTTGGGCATAAGCTTTTGTGGGTAAAAACCCCCACTTCTTGAGATGCATGGAGTGAAAATTACAGATACAGGCATAAATATGCTGGCACATGAAGAGAAGGGAGTTACCTTAAGGTAAGTCTCCCCTATCGCTCCTACCTTAAGATAACTCCCTTCTCTTCATGTGCCACTATATTTATGCCTGTATCTGTAATTTTCACTCCATGCATCTGAAGAAGTGAGGTTTTTACCCACGAAAGCTTATGCCCCAATAAATGTGTTAGTCTTTAAGGTGCCACCGGACTCCTCATTGTTTTTGTGGATACAGACTAACACGGCTACCCCCTGATACAAACCTCAGATGCAGCTACACTATGTTGGGGAGCTCATCTGAAAAACAATGTTAGGGCTTATTGGACACCCCAAAAAAATGTACATATCAGTATTGTTGAACTGAGAGCCACAAGACTAGCTCTAAAGTCCTTCCTATCTCAAGTCTAATACAAAGTACTTCAGGTTGTAACAGACAATGCGATGGCGCTACATTATCTGAACAAACAAGGGAGGGGAAACTTATTCTATAAAATTATGCCTGGAGGCAAAGAGGCTTTGGAAATGGTGTACAGAACATGACATTCACCCAGTATCAATTGGTGTAGGGGTGTGTGAATGGGTTTGTGGTCCACTCCCTAGTGGTCACAGTCTCTGGCAGTCGCTTCATCCAGTGATTGCAGCCAAAGGGGAGGTAGGGGAACCTGGACCCTCCTGCTCCACCGGGTTCTGACCCAGGGCCCTGTGAGACTTGTCTGGTGCCTTGCACCCTGAGGGGCCGCAAGTCAGCCTCCCTGGGTCACTTCCTACCTCCCCTTTTCTTGCACTGGGGGCTGCAAGGTGTCCACATAAGCACCAGTTCGCAGGTTGCCTACCCGTCTCCAACCCGTAAGAGCTGCTGCTTGACAAACATTCCTTCTCCCAGCCTGGGACTGGCTATGTCCTGGTCCAGAGCCCCCAGACCAGGTCCTTCTCCCTACCCTGTCTGGCCCAACTGAGCCACCTGGCTGGTTGGCTCCCTTTTCAACCCCACCTCCAGTTGGAGCATGCTCGGCAAGGGCGGAGGGGTGAAGCCTCCTGTGCCCAGAATTGCTCTTTAATCCTCTGCTGTCCAAAGAAGGGTTTTACACTGTGTCACATGGGGGAACAAAACACGCTTGCAGATTAACATGTCAAATGCACAAATGGTCTGTGAAGGAAGTAGTAATAACACACCTCTCCAGTTTATGGGGGAATCTGATAATATACTTGTTTGCCTCCAGCAGCAACAGGAACGGTCAAAAATTTTGCTCCAGAGCAGGCAGAGACAAGGAATCAATATCAGGTGCATTTCTGATACACTGGTGTCAGGGCTTAATGTAACCATTTCCCCTCAGTCAGAGAGTGATAAACAAACAACAGGATAAGGCCAGAGTGATTTTAATAGTGCCAGCATGACTGAGGGTATGTCTACACTACGGGATTAATCCGAATTTAGATAATTCGGATTTGAGAAACAGGTTGTATAAAGTCGAA